GGGAGCCCAAACCCATCACAGCTTCCCAGACCCTTCCAGAGCTTCCCAGAACCTTCCAGAACCTTCCAGAACCTTCCAGAGCATCCCAGAACCTTCCAGAGCATCCCCAGACCCTTCCAGAACCTTCCAGAACATCCCAGAACCTTCCAGAGCTTCCCAGAACCTTCCAGAACCTTCCAGAGAATCCCCAGACCCATCACAGCTTCCCAGAACCTTCCAGAGCTTCCCAGAACCTTCCAGAGCATCCCAGACCCATCACAGCTTCCCAGAACCTTCCAGAAGGAGCCCAAACCCATCACAGCTTCCTGAGGGACTCAAGAACCTTCCAGAACCTTCCTGAGGGACCCCAAGAACTCTCTAGAACCTTCCACAACATCCCCAAATCTATCACGGTTTCCAGAGCATCCCCAAACCCATCACGGATTCCTGAGGGGCTCAAGGACTTCCAGAATCTTCTCTGAGGGTCCCAAGTACCCCCAGAACCTTCCAGAGGGACCCCGAGAACCCCTCAGAACTTTCTCAAAGTTCTTAAAACCCCCCAGAACCTTCTTGGGGGGTTCATGGGGGTCCCAAATCCTTCCAGAACCTTCTTGGGGGTCCCCAAATTCCCCCAGAACCTTCTTGGGGGTCCCAAAATCTTCTCAGAACCTTCTTGGGGGTCCCAAAATCTTCTCAGAACCTTCTTGGGGGTCCCAAAATCTTCTCAGAACCTTCTTGGGTGTCCCAAAATCCTTCCAGAACCTTCTTGGGTGTCCCAAAATCCTTCCAGAACCTTCTTGGGGGTCCCCAAATCCCCCCCCAGGCCCTTCCCAAGTCCCTCCAATCCATTTTTGGGAACTGTGATGAGACCAAATCCCCCCGAAATTTCTGGAAAGGTTTCCAAATCCCCCCCCAAAATCCACTTTTTTTTTTTTGGGGTTCAGAGACCCCTCCCCAGGTGGATTTTGGGGTCCCCCCACTCACCCTCCACCACCTTGACGGGGTGCAGGTCCGAGGGCAGCCGGGAGTTGATGTGGAAAATTTTCTGAGCATTCCAGATCATGCGGAGCAGGTTACAGGGGAGCACCACCTGGGGAACCCCAAAAATGGGAAAACAGGT